GACTCCCTGCTGAGCAGGGAGCCCGATGTGGGACTCGATCCCGGGACTCCAGGATCATGACCTGAGCCGAAGGCAGTCGCTTAACCAACTGAGCCACCCAGGCGCCCCTACTCTAAGATTTCCAGATGCCAGGGGCATGAATCTGCTCATACTGTCCTTCTAACGTGCCCCACGCCAGTGCCTTGATATGGGCTTTCACCTTCTCTGTTCAGTCCCCCCCATCATCACTATAAGCTATGCTAGCTGAATCGCTGATCTAAAACTCTCTAGCACTCAGGGCACTGAGGAGCACATGGGAAGCAGGTGGCAGCAGTGTGACAGGTGATGCAGGGAAGGAATGGCAGGATGGGAGGGATCTCAGCCTTTAGGCATGTCAGGTTGAAGGCAAGTCAAACTCCAACATATAAGGAAGAACGTATTTTTTACAATGTGTGACAGGAGCACAAAGGTGTCTATCAGCTTAAAGGTGGTAATCATACGTGGAGGGAAAAAGTCAACACTACTGAAGCTCCTCACAACCAGTAATGAAGTAAAAAGAGATGAACTAACTCTGGCTGGGGAGCTTTGGATCAGGTGTGAGGCTGGACTTGATAAGCTTTAAGATGGATTTCTTCACAGATTCTCCCTAAGTGGTATTGATTAACAGGGACCAGCATCTACTTTAGGGGGTGCTTTGGGACTAAAGGAGCATTTGGCACATAGGTAAGAGAACTCAAAAGATAAAAATTCCAAATGAGAGCCCTCAATAGGTCACACTCAGACAGCTAGATACATGAGGCCAGTGGTTCAGTGCTATGACTGAGGGGGGTGCTACTCTCCACAGGCCCACCTACCTTGTTCTCTAAGTCATTTGGACAACTGGCCCCTACTCCTGGCCCCTATGTTGGCTCACCCCTCCCTATATGACAAGTGGGGAATGTATAAGCCTCTAAGAGGCTACCCATTCAAGGTTCCAGACACAGATGCTGCACTGTCACTTGACTCCTTGGAAATAAACCTTAAAACTTCCCACCAGTCCTCATAAAGTAAGGTTATTACACAGGATTTTTCTTCTTTCTATAAAGGCATGTTCCAACAAAACTTCAAGATCACCATAAATACAACTGTTGAAGGCAATAAATAAGTAATTTAATGATATAAAACATGTAGCTTTTTCATTAAATTATCAGTTCTTTCCTTACTCTGAGTAATTAGTTCAAGGAATCAAAAGTGTTAAATTGAATAAGTGATACCAAAAATCCTTGAACAGGATAGAAAAGAAACATCCAAAAATAAAGAATTAAGTAAAAATGTTACAAAAATGTCCTATTTACCAGACTTTCCATAGAAGCTTGACACATCACAAAAATCTGCTTTTAACCTTGGTAAAGCAATTAAAAGGTGATTTTCAGTAACTCCACTGCATGACTCAAATTATTGTTGGAAAGATAAGTATTTGAAATTAATGGCTACAGACTTTCAACTCCCAACTCCCTGCAAACCCACCAAAGTCTTCTTTACTGTTCTTTGATCCTCTGTGATAGAGAAACAAAGACCATCATTTTTAATTTCAAGAAAATCACATGGATGCTTTGTTTCTTCACTTAAAAGAAACAACATGATTATATTTGGGCTATTTATTAATGAGTTCCATATGAATTAAATTTAACTTATAACTCAATCAATTATTATCTATTTCTCTTAAAAAAACACAATTCAACATATAAGTGGGTAAAAAGAGATTAATCTGGGTTCTTTTATTCATATTTATATCTCCAGGCAGAGCCACATCTGTGAGGGACCAATTCCTAAATTCATCCAAATACTTGAACAGACATTTTATTGCTGGCACTGCTATCTGAACTGCCAAGCAAGCCCACATAAAAAGGCACCATTAAGGAGCAGCAACTTAGTTATCAGTGATACCATAAGTTATCAACAATTCATTCACTCAACAAATAGTACTAGACACTCTGCTAAGTGCTGGAAACATAATGGTGAGTGAAATGATTCCTGCTCTCACAAAGCTTACAGTATGGTAAGGGGAAGAGATATCAATCAATCATATAAGGAGTGTAATTAAAAAGTGAAATAAAGCTCACAAGGAAAAAGAACACAATATAAAGTAAAAGAATCTGATCTAGACAAACAGTGGGCATCGGAGAGGACTTCCCTGAGGAAGTGATGCTTGAGCTGAGACCTGCAGGACTGGAGCAAAGGGGGAGGTATGTGAGGGAAACGGCAGGCATATGAGGATTTCAGGCCAAGAGAAGAGCACCTGAAAGGGCCTGGGGTAAAGGTAAGCCGTATCCTCAAGGAAGTCGAAGGCAGGCCACTGTGTTTAGAGCACAGGGAGCTAGGGGTACAAGGATAGGAAAATGGTAAGTTTTTAGAAAGGTCTTAAAATAGGAGGCAGGCAGGGGCGCCTGGGTGGCTCAGTTGGTTAAGCGACTGCCTTCGGCTCGGGTCATGATCCTGGAGTCCCGGGATCGAGTCCCACATCGGGCTCCCTGCTCAGCAGGGAGTCTGCTTCTCCCTCTGACCCTCTTCCCTCTCATGCTCTCTATCTCTCGTTCTCTCTCTCTCAAACAGATAAATAAAATCTTAAAAAAAAAAAAATAGGAGGCAGGCAAATGGCCTCTACTATAACTTGGGTTCTGGTGGGGCTTCAACAACATAATGCCTTTAAAGGAATTTTGTAAATTGTAAAGCACCCTTACTTTCGTAAGTACTATTTACTTCCACTACTTTGTTTTCTAAATAAACTTTCAGCCTGGATGCCAAGGGACAAGCCAAAAGCAGAAGAGCTAAAACTAGAACCCCAGTGTTCTAATCCAGTGTTTTGCCCCTATACCACACTGCCTAAAAATTTCAGTTTATATCACTTAACTAGTCCAATGTCTTTACCAGACAACTAGTGCTTCATAATGACAACTCCAATTATGAGTATGTCAGGCAATTTTCTAAGCTCTTTATTTACATTAACTTATTTAATCATCAATTCTAGAAAAAAGGTTCTATTATTGTCCAGATGAAAACACTGAGGCTCAAAAAAGTTAAGAAAATTATTCAAAGTCACACAGCTGGTAATTCTTGACATTGTTAACCACAACACTATCTAGCTGCTGCTTAAACCATTTTACGTGTGTGTTTCTACATATGCGGGGGGTGGGTGGAGAACAGAACTCACCTGTATAAAACCACATTCACCTAATTGAGGACACCAATCAGCGTACTGGTCACCTAGTGCCTAGGGTATTAGTGGGGCCTGGCAAATACTTTACGAACTAAAGATAGATATAAGGGACTAACAAAAGACTTGAATCTAGAAGTAAAGTGATTTTCTGATGCTTTCGCCCTCAGTCATGTAATACATCAGCAATTCACTTGATAGCTGTATTTTCCTTGTCTACTTTTTTATTGTTACATTGAAGATTTGTTCCCCACTACCTTTGTCATACTTCACAGACTTTAGCCTGGAGATAGAGTGGGATTATGGGAAAAGGACAATGAACTAGTTTCAACCACTTTCCAGCCACAACTGGCCTGTTCTCAGTCACTCCAGACACTCTCCCTCCTGGGCCTCGCTCTCCAGAACACTATTCCTTCCTTGGGTTCCTCAGTTCAAACATCACCACCTTTCCAGAACATCCAATCTAAATCAGTCTCCTCAGGCCTTCTTTAACACATCACTCAGTTTCATTTCATTTCTTTCATGAAACTGACCACTCTTTAATCATCTCTTTAATGTCTATTCACCCCAACTCCCAATTCTAGGAGGGCAGGGGCTTTGTCTAGGTGGTTCTCTGGATGTATCCTCCAGGGCCCCAAACTAGGCAAATATCCATTTAATCAACGAATGAGAATTACTTCAGATTTATCTCTGTTCTATCAAGCCCTCAATACCCTTAAGCTTTCCACTCCTGGTGGCTCTACACCCCATTTTCAACAGGAACACCATCTCTACATTACTTTGAGGTTCACAAAGTAACCTGGACTCCATTTTCTGAGCAGAGCCCCTAAAACGATCTCTCCCCATTTTACAGTCCAGGAAATTGAGCCTCGGAAGGGATTCGCCCGCAGCCATGCCGAAAACACGGGCAGGAGCCCCGACGGGTGTCCAGGTTCCGAAAAGCCCTTCCCACGAGCCAGCGCCGTGGATTCAAGGTGCTTCATCACCTTTATTACTATTGTTCTACCGCACTCATTCAGGACGCGTTCCAGGCCAAGGGAAGCCGCCCGGCCCCTCGCGGTGTCCCCGAGCGCCCCAGACTCTTAACCCAGGCCGCGCCCCCGCGCGCCCCGCCCCCGGCCCCGCCCCCACCGCCCCGGCCTCACGCCGCGCCGCGGCCTCTGCTCCCGCCCTGCCTGGGCTCCCGCGCCCCGCGGGGGCCGCCCCCTCCCGCCCGAGCCAATCAACAGAGCCTCGGGGGTCGGAGCCAGAGGTCCCAGCCCACCTATCTGGGCATCAATTGGTCGGGACAGCTGTCGCTCACGAAGTCGCGCCCCGCACCCGCCTCCCTCCTTTTTCTCCACCCTCCCTCCAGAAAAAACGGCGGTTGGGCCGCGGCGGTCTCCAACGGCGGGCGGGAAGCGGAGGGGCGAGGAGCCGGGGAACTAGGGAAGGAGGGACTGCAGGGAGGAGGAGGATAAAAGGGAGGAGGAGGGGAGTCTGGCCCAGCCGGAGCCATCTCCATCGAGAACAAAATGGCGGCGCTGGCGGAGGGCCAACTGTGAGGCGGGGCCGCGGCCATTCCCCCTCCGCCCCCACCCTCGCGCCGGCCGGGCCGGTCAGGGGGAGCCTGCTCTCTTCGCCCGGCCGCGGGCGGGGAGGGGAGGGAAGCGGCCCGGCCCACTATGCAAAGCGTCCGGCGGCGGCGGCGCCGCCGCCGCCGCCGCCGCCCCGTGGCAAAGGTAAAAGGGTCGGGTTCAGCCGCCGTCGCGGCGGCTCCATGTCCGCGCGCCAGGCCCGCCCCCTCCGCCGCCGGCCCGAGCCCGCCCCGGCCCCTTTTCAATTTTACCTCAGGATTTGGCGCCAAAGCAGCCTCGAAGCAGGTCCCGTGTCTGCGGCGGGCGGCCCCCGACGCGGAGGGCAGGGCGCGGGGAGGCCGGCCTCCCGGCGTTGGCGGATGGCGGGAGCCCCGGGGCCGTGGGCTCGCGGGGCAGCAGGCGAGAGACGAGACGCCGAGGTGGGAGCGGGGGCGGCGGGGGCGGGCCCGGGGGCGCCGCCGGGGTCGCGGGGAAGGGGGGGTTTGTTATTGTTTTTGTCAGTGAAAGGTCAGAGTTCGTGACCCCGGTGCCGCCGCCGCCGCCGCCCGCGCGCTGGTAGGAGGAGGGCGAATGTTCTTCTTCCTCTTCCCAGCGCCAGCCTCGCCGCGGCCGCGGGGGGCGGGCGAGCACGCGATTGGCTGAGGCGCGCGCGCGCACCGGAACGCCGCGGCCGGCGCTGGTCCATCCGGCCCCTCGGCGGCCCGCGGGCCCGGCGGCGAGCGGGCGGGAGTTGGTGTCGGCCCTGCTGGCCGGGGAGCCTCTGCCCCGGACTCGGTTGGCACAGCCGCTAGGCGAAAATGAAATTTCAATGGCGCGGACGCCTCTGTTTTCAGGGCAGAGGGCCGATTGGTCGTCTTAAAACCCTGGGAACGCGGCGCACCGTTATTCGGGTGCAAGCCGGCGCCTCCTGGGGGACCGCGAGTTCCTCGAGGCTAGGTGGTTTCTGTGTTCTCCCTGTGATTGCCTCCATCCCGGCCTCCCGCTGAGCTGAAGCCTCTGTTGATTGAAGAAGCAGTCTCCCAGCACAGAGCCTGTAGGTTAAGTGGGTGGTTTATTGGTGGGTATTGAATTGTTTGTGCCCTACTCTTTACGGATGGTTTTTATTTGGGTTTTAAAGGTCGCCAGCTTCTGGCAGTATTAGGTAAAGTTTTGAAATCGTCCAACACCTGTTATTTATGGTCTTTTAGTGAACACGTGACCCAAATCTTAAGTCCTCTCCACTCTCTCCGCTCTTTGGAACTAGTGAACAGTGATACATAAGTGTGTGTAAAACAACTGCAAAATTGCTTCTCTTGGTCTTAGGAATTTTGGGTTGTAGGTTTTCTTTAGATATTTCTCTCTTTTTAAGTCGTGGTTTTGACTTGCTTTGGGAGATGTGGACCACTTATTTTTCCTAGATGCCCCGAAATGTTTTGGTTAGACTCTTCCTTGATCGTCATGCTTTGTAGGAGGAAGATTCCTTGCTAATTGATTTTTTTTCTTGCATTTTTCTTGTTTGTTATGAATAAATACTGATCCCAAGATGGATGGGTTAACCTTTTTTCTTAAACATTTGTGCTTTGATCAGGCTGACCCCAGCTTTGAGTATTTTGTCCGAAATCTTATATTTCTATTTGATAGGAAATGCTTTAAACACACCATTTTTTTCTTTTCCCATGTTCTCACCTCGAAAAGAAGTGGGGGAAAGAGTTAAATTTGTAATGTCTTCCCTGAAGCTGGAAGGGGCCTCAAGAAATGATATGGCCCAGTCCTCTTCTGGCAGGAAGATCTTACAGGAGAGGTGGGTGAGAACCAGAAAGTTCAAGTGATGTGCCTATGGTTACACAGTATTTTGATGGTAAATCCTTGTAAACATGGACTCTTTTTACAATTGCATTCTTTTTCAAAAATTACTTTTTTAACGTTAAATAAAAGTTAAAAAATAAACGTTAAACGTTAAATAACGTTAAAAGCCGTTTTTAACGTTAAATAAACACTTCCAGATACAGTGTAAAAATTCATACATCAGTTTTGGGTTTTTCTTTTTTGCAAACACAATTGCACTAATTTTGAAGTAAATATTAAACAATCATTAATGTTTCTATCATGGCCTATCATTAGCACTGTGAACGAGGCACAGTTACTTCATTTTACTGAGGTGTAGGAACTGAGGCCTGGGTAAGGTAAGCAATCTGCCAAATGTTACAGATGCAATAAGGGAAGACAGAGCTGTGATCTAGTCCTTTTGACCTTAAGGTTTATGCTGTAAAACCATGCTGTATCAGTGGCCAGATGTTCACTTAAAGGTTAGTTGTTTAATATTAAAAGTAGTGTAGAGAGGTGCCTGGGTGGCTCAGGTGGTTAAGCGGCTGCCTTCAGCTCAGGTCATGATCCCGGGGTCCTGAGATGGAGCCCTTCTTCTGTCTCCTTGCTCAGCAGGGAGTCCGCTTTCCTTCTCCCTCTGTCCTTCCCCTGCTCATTCTCTCTCAAATAAAATTTTTTTTTTAAAAAAAGTAGTGTAGAAAGCGTTCATAATCTTGGGCAGCTTTTCTTTCCCGGAAAACAGATGCACATGTACAGAGACAGATTGCAAACAGTATCAGCAGGTAACAGGCCTCTGCAAGCTGAAATCAGTGCTGCCATAGTGCCAGTTTTTTTTCTCCATTGTGTTTTTGCTAGAAGTCTTTAAAATATATATATGTATGTTTATTTTTATAGAGTGCACATGCGGGGTGGGGGGGGTGACAGAATCTTAAGCAGGCTCCACTCAGTGTGGAGCCCATCTCGGGGCTCAGTCCCATGACCCTGAGATCATGACCTGAGCCGAAATCAAGAGTCAGATGCTTAATAGACTAAGCCACGCAGGCAGGCACGCCCTGATAGAAGTCTTTTTAGTGAGAGTGTTTTAGCAGCTTTAATCACAAAAAAAATATTCAAGTTGTGTCATACTAGCTATACTTTTTTTTTTTTACTGTTAATGAGTATCCACATTTTTATCAAGAGTGCTTTTAACATTGTTTTATCTGCCTTTAAATATTAAAGGGTTCTTGACTAAGGGGTGCAGTAAAGAACTGCCAGGCCCCAGTGGTTGTGAAGCATTAAGCTTTGGGTGGGGCCTGGCATCAGCACTTCTGAGCATCACAGAGAATTCTGATGTACACTACCAGCCTGAGCCACTGATTAATTCCAAAAAGGCATGGCAAAAGAATAACAAGACAAAACTTTACATTTTTTGAAATGCAGTTGTTGGTTTTTTCAAACTGACCACTCCTGAAGATTATTCATTCACAGGGACAGGGGCTTGACAGGATTGATGATACCCAGCTGTTGTGTGTGCATCTTCTTGGCACCCACCCAGACGGTGAGCTCTGTATCGAAATGTGCCTTGTCCCTCTCTCTCTCAGCCCTTACCACAGTACCTAGTAAAGATGGGTATTTACTGAATCAGTGCTTTGCCCAGCAACAGTATATGGTGAACAATATTCATATTATCATCCCACTTTTAAGCTGAACTCAGTGAAAACAAAGTTTGGTGACTTCCTTGAGCTGGGATGTGAGCCTGGGGCTGTTCGCTCCTTGCACAGTGCTCTGTGGATGAGACCCAGGTGTTCCTTTCTCTTCCCTCTCTGTTCTCTGGGCAGGTATTTTTTTCACAACACTTAACTAGTGTGTTCTTCACTCAGTCATTAAGTAACTTGTCTGTGAGCTCCTTGAGAGCAGGAACAATATCATGCAGTTTCATTTTGTACATAGGACAGAGTAAACATGTTTTTTTGCCATCCAGGGTTATTTAAATAATAAATGTCAATGAAAACCAAATTTTGGTTAAATAATAGTTGTATATGTGCTAAAATTTTCCAGTTATTAAGCAAAGTTGGTTTTTTTTTTAACTTGTAAAGATACTGCTTTTTTGGTAGCAGAAATGATGGTTTTCCTTATTTTTGTGGACTGTGGGAAGGCTTAATTACCTTCTTAAGTATTTATGTATATTTTTGTATCAGCTCTTCTATAATAGCTTATGCTTTATTGCTATGTATAGTAATTTATGAAACTTACATTTATATCATTTATATAATTATGACATTTATAAAATAAACTGTTAAACCTGATATAATTCTTTTTAGCCTTATTTTTGAAGAGTGTGGAATCTAAACAGATGTAATCAATAAGTACCAGATTGCCTGTTCCTTACACTCACATCATCCTGTTAAATCTTCACAATAACTTTGTGAAGTGGATGGTATTATCTTGTTTTTGTAGCTGAAGAGGCTGAGGCCTTAAACAGGGGAGCATGACTTCTCCAAAGTCACATGGTTGGCAGGTGGTGGAACATTTATTCATAGTTATTTCTGCTTATTTCTCTTCTGTCCTTGAGAACTTTGAAAAGAAAACTGTCTTCCCACCTCCATGATTCTGTCAGAGTCAAGCTCTGTCACAGTAGAAGGCTATTTGGAGAGGTCTCAGATTCTGTGTACTTGGCCCTTGCTTTTCCCAGGAAGAGAAAAGAGACTGAGCCTGTGGTAGACTGGTGGGAATGGAACGCAGGGACACTGTGAGAGTGAGTTCCTGAGTCCCCTCCAGAATGGCTTTTGCTGGGAATTTCTGACCTGAGGCTTCCTGGGCCTTGAAAAGGTATGATTTCAAAGTTGTATTTGGCTCAGGTATCTTGGAACATGTGGAAAGTTAGATTATCTTCTCAGAAAAATGTGCCTGCCCTTCCTTGGTCCCTTGTTTTAGAATGCAGCTTGCCTAATTAGGAACTCTCCATCTTGAGAAGTTGGGAGTTCTTCACTAGCCCAGTGCCACAAGAGTTAATCACCGGGGCCTCTTGGCCTTTCACTCTTGAAGTCTGAGTAGTGACACTGCTTGAGTTTCTTAAAGAAGAGATTATTTCAGTCCCACAGCCTATTCACTGCTGGCCAGGAAATGTACCTCAAAGCCAAAAGTCTCTTGGAAAAGTCTTCCCCTTCAGTGCTTTGCTTTGCATCCTGTACTTCACCTTGGGGAGAGCTAGGATGCTGCCCTGAGGCTTCTGGCCTTGGGGATGCTTGGGCACATTGTCAGGACTGGGTCTACACACAAATCCTCTTGGTTCTGCCCTCACGGTTGGCCCTTCCTCCACTGTTCTCTAGGTCTTCTCTCTGGCCTGCTGTCATGGTTTCTTAAGCTTCCAAACCAGTCTGCCGGCTGCCCCCTCCCCACCCACCGCCCTCCCCTTTTCCCTCCCACTGCCTGAGTGTTCTGCCAACAGCCAGTTCTAGCTCTCTTCTACCAATAAAGTTCTTCAATGGCCTCTGCATTGCTTAGGGCTGAAGTGAAAACTCAGATGCCTAAAGCGAGGGCAGTAGGGGGCAGTAGGGGTCGGGTCTGGCAAGTGTTCTAAAGGAGGTCAGTAAGCTGAGATAAACACTATTAGTATGTTAA